CACACACACACACACACACACACACACACACACACACACCCCTCCGGGGCATTGCAGTTGTCATACATTATGAACCCGTTGCCAAGCATCTGAATTTTGATCCCGTCATCCTGGGGATGCTGTCATGGTCGCAGGTGTGAAACATGGTCATAAGCCCCATGTGTCACTTTTTTTTCAGTGCTGTAATTTTGAACAGTCACTAAATGAATTGTTGTAAGTTGAGGACTACCTGTACCTTGAAAAGCTAAAGCCTTGTTTGATAGGTCCTTAAGTGTCACTTGTTTCAAGAGCTTTAAACCCATTGAGCAACCAGCAGTATCAACCATAATAGGGTAGTTGAACCTTACAGAAGGGAGAGTGCCAAAATTATTTAATTATGCCATTCTGTCCAGAGCATTTACCCTCATAAAAATTGGCTGGAGTATTCTAGCAGTTGAAGTCCATGCATTTTAAAATGGCTGAGGTTGGGAAAACTACAATAAAGGGATGTAAATTATTCTGGGTTAAAATAAGGCAAGGCAAATAATCTTCTGCCTACTGTAATTTAAATGCAATTTTTTCCACTGATAGTCCTCAACTTACAGCATTATTTGATTAGTGACCATTTGAAGTTACAATGGCACTAAAAGAAAGGTGACTTATCACCATTTTTCACACATGACCATTGCAGCATCCCCATGGTCACATGATGACAGTTCAGGCGCTTGGCAACTGACCCATATTTATGACGGTTTGTGTCCCGGGGTCAGGTGATCCTGTTTTGCAATCACCTGACAAGCAAAGCCAATGGGGAAGCCTGATTTACTTAACAGCTATGTTACTAACTTAACAGCTTCAATGGTTCAGTTTAACAACTATGGTAAGAAAGGTCATGAAATGATGCAAAACTCAATGAATGTCACAGTTAGCAACCGAAACGGGGTTCAATTATTGTTGCAAGTTGAGGACTATTTGTAACTGGGCCACAATTTTACTCCTCTATCAAGCACCGAACTTTAACAAATGTTCAAGGTTATTGTTCTGCCTGTCCTTTTTGGATATGGGTCAATCCCAGATGGAAGCACTTCAGTTTTCCATTTAGTTAAGAGTGGTTCATGTAACATCCAGTAAACGTATATTGGTTAACTGGGGTCTTGACTTACTGGTCAGGCCTACTCCCATTATCTTATGCTCTCTGTGTTCAGTTTCAGGCAGCCTCAGCGAAATCATCGCCTCACACCTTCCGATGATGAGCATCTCCAGAAAACAACACTCCATCGTTTGGAGAGAGACTCACCAAACATTATGTTTATTGAAAATTGCACTAATTTTGGTTTCTCCATCAATGGGAACACAGTGGTAGGCCCTTGCGCTATTTTGCCACAAGCCATCCTGCAGTGGAATGTAAGTTTTTTGATTTCTTAATAGAGATACAGAATCTTTTCAGTTCAGGATATACATATATTTTATAATTTTAATATATTTTTTCCTCACATCCATTTACAGTGAGTCCTTGCTTAATGATGGGAACTTGCATTACTAAGCAATATTTTTGTAATGGGCAATGTACAGGATGACACTGCTTTGTGATGGCAGTTCCAGCAGTTCCGTCATTAAGCAAGAGCCTCATGAACTGACTTCCTGCTGGCTTCCCCAATGACTTTGCTTGTGGGAAGCTGCCAAGTATGTTCACGTGGTAGTGGGACACTGATAGTCAGAAATCTGGGCTGGTCGCTGAATACCTGGATTGTGATCATGTGACCACGAGGTCACTGCAACAATGAGATTTTCTACGATCAGTCATAACTCGCAACAGTCACTCGAGCCCTTGTGATCTCTAGGCTGGAATACTGCAATGGGCTCTACATGGGGTTGCCCTTAAAGTGCATCCGGCGACTGCAGTTAGTCCAGAATGCGGCCGCGCGAGTGATAGTGGGCGCACCGCGGTTTGCCCATGTTACACCTATCCTCCGCGAGCTGCACTGGCTACCTGTCGATCT